CTTGCCAAGCACATTTTAGGATTTGAAGAAGTTGATGAAGAGTTTGTTCAGGAGTCAGGTGGGGGGTAGGGGGGGGGGGATAAAAGTGACTGCGCCACCCCCCTCCCAGTACAGATATGTGTGTGTGACTGCATGGTCACTTCTACTGTACATACAATACATAACATTAATTAAAAGCTACATACAATATTTTTTATATTAATTTTACTACATCTACACCTAACATTATTTGAGACTTTAATGTACATAAAGATCAATACAAGAAGCTCTAATACTCACTCATTTCATCCCAAATACTATTGGATAATTTCTTTGGAAAAATCCCAAAAAAGGCAACTGGAAGCTGACGGGTTTCAGTCCTGTCCATATGGTAGGAGATCTGAGTGCACCCCTCTCCCCCTCCTCAATAAGAGATCACTACACATACATGTATAGTTCATGAAACACAAGTCAACTTGCGGCATGATGGATGACTCTTTAATGAGTAATACCGTATAAAATCAAGAAATTTTCAGGGAATTTTTTGAATATACGCACGTATACAGTATTTATGAAAAGTATACAAATAAAATTAATGATGGACCATCCAACTTTTTGCAATTTATAAATCTATTACTATTTCTAATTTCCATTCATTTCCATAAATGTATTTTATAAATTTGGAGAAAAGGGCCCTAGCTATTAATACCGATACAGCGATACACACACCTCCAACACTTATTATATTATATATTCTTGTATGATCAGCCACTTATGGTGTATATTTTATCATTGATAATATAAAATATTAAATACTGTACTGTACTGTACTATAACGTATAGAAAAATGACAAAATATTGCCTCATGCTCCCGAGTCCTCTGTGGTGGAGGTTTGGGAAGGGGAGGGAGGGAGGGGACTGACCGCACACCCCCCAAAAAGGTTCCTGCCTCTCCCCTACTCCTCCCCATGCCTGTCATTCCCATTGTAAAATGTTTTATTTTATTTTTTATTAATTAATAAAGACATGTTTACTTTAATAATTTGTGCTTAATGTGTTTAATATTTTATTTTAACGAAGATAAAACATCCACCATAAGAGGCTGATCACTGGTGAAAAGGGAAGTGCCAGTCCCTACCTGCACCTTGCCTCCTTGCCTCTCTCCTGCCTGCTTCCTGTCTCCCTCCAACTCAGTGTCTCACACAAAAGACTGTAAACTAGATGTTGTGTGTGTGTGTGTGTGTGTATGATGTGGTGTTGGGGTATTACTTAATGAATAATAAATAAACAATATTGTATTGTTAATGACTGTAAAGTAGTTTGATGAATAGTACCGGTAGTTATAAATGTAGTACGCTACCAGTCATCAAACGACTGTCATTGATGATACACTATTGCTTATTTATTGATTCATACCACATCACACCGAGAGACCCTAACACCACCCACACACCCCCATATTGTATGACATAAATTTATGGCGAGGTGAATTGAAAGATCAGCTGTTGAGGAGCTTAGCGCTTGGCAACACTGGTGCATGTTACCACTCCTTTCCACTCCATCTCTCTAATCACCCACACCTTTCTGTTTTCTCACTCCACATTTTAAAATCTTATGTAATGTAATGTTGAAGGGATATAATGTGTTAAGTATAAGTATAAAAAATACTGTATTTTAGCTTTCATGTTTATTCAAGACATCTTCAGGTCCTTAGACCCACTAATCCCCCACCCGACAATGAGTGACCTGACACTGTATCAGAAGGTCAGTAATATGAGACCACTAATACCCAACCCTACCTCCACCTTAAAATTGTGTCAGGTCAGTTGCACGAGACCCACTAATCCCCCACAGCTCCAAGGGAGTGGAAAATACCAGTCCTTGCTGTAACACGCAGCTGCATTCAAGACCATATCATATAGATTTTTAGTTTAGACTCTTGGAAAACTCCCCAGCACATAGAAACATTATGAGGATGTGGGCTAGTGTTTGTCTGTGCAAGATGCACAGTTTAGACACTCGGAATTTTTTTTCAAGTACAGGTTGTACCTCTCTAGTCCGGCATTCTGTGGTCCGGAAACTCCCGTGGTCCGGAACGATTTTAGTTTGTCCAATAGGTAGATAGGCAGTTTTTTTTTTTTACTTATCTGAATTATTATTATTATTACAGGAGTATTAAATTTTTGCCCCTCAGGCCCCAATGTGGGTCAGTGACCTATGCCCGGGTGGGCTAATCCCCTTAAAAAAAAAAAAGCTGCGGGAAATTAAGGTTTGTTTACATCCGGCAGTTCGGCTGCTCTCTCTCTCTCTGCTTGTCTATACAGAGTACAACATTTAACCCTTCAATATATATGAGCAGTAAATAAGTGTTGCTTTCATATTCTTATGTAGAGTAATGACAATATATTTTCACATGTGCGCACTTACATACGAGCAGTCTCACTTTTTTTTTTACCATTAATGGTTAGCTACTTATATTGTTCCATTTATTAACATTAAATAACATTACAGGTACTTCAAGCAACCATATTCATTTTTTACATTAATTTTACTACAGCTAAACTCAGGGTCTTATTTTCTTCAGTTTTATATGTAGAACCAATCAGTCACTGGTTTCGTAAGCTTTAACAGAAACAATGCGGGCCGCCGTCTTGTCTCCTCTAATATTCCACGTATTATTAATAAATTGTATTGTTAATTTTGCACACACACACATTAATTCAATAAAAACAAATTCAGAAACATTAATTAAAATATATATGAACAGTAAATAAGTATTGCTTTCATATTCTTATGTAAAGTAATGACGATATGTTTTCACGTGTGCGCATGCGCACTTACACATGCGATCTCTCTTTTTCTTTACCATTATCGTTCGCTACTTCTATTGTTCCATTTATTAACATTAAATAACATTCCTTAAAACAACCATATTAATTTTACTACAGCTACAACCAAGGTCTTATTTTCTTCAGTTTTATATGTAGAACCAGTCAGTCACTGCCTTTGTAATCAACGAAAACAATGCTGTGTCATTTCCTCGTGTGTTTTAATATTCTACGTATTATTAATGAATTGTATTGCTCATTTTGCACACAATAAAAAAGACATTCAGTAATAAACAATAATAAATCTTTTGTACATAAGAGAAATGACGCTGTTTACACGATTATGCACATCGTCTGCACGTTGGCGGGCCGTTCAAACCCGTCAAAATTCAAGTTTCCGCCGTCAAAATTTTTATTTATTTATTTTTTTGTGTTCCAATAAAATACGTTAAGAATTAAAAACTCGCGAAATTTGAGAAGCTACTATACGACATTTAACCCTTCAATATGTCTTCAAAGAGACCATGACGAAGAGAAAGTGGTGCTAGTGCTTCCAAGCATAAGCACAAGTCACTATCTATCCAGGAAAAGGGTGAATTTCCATGGTCCGGCACCGGTCAGGTCCCGAGGTTGCCGGACTAGAGAGGTACAACCTGTACCCGGAAATATTTCCGAGGATGGGGGATTTTCCGGGTTTGAAAAAATCGCCTGGTTAGCCAGAGATCTCTCATCCCCGGAAGTGCTCTGCACCAATTGTTCATGCTAACGGGGATATCACTGAACTGTACTCACATTAAGTGTAAAGTGAACTTCTGGTGGTGCATCATTAATTCCAGGGAGAGTCTGGACCACAACCAGAGCCAGGATCAAGAAGGCTACTGGGATAACATTCTGGAAACAACATAAATGAAAGTCATTAGTAACTTGCTACTGCATATTTGACTATAAACAGTGTAAGAAAACTTACCAGTATAAACAACTTTTACAGTAGAGGTATCTAAAACAACAACACAACAAAGACAAAACTACAGAGCTGTAAATACATATTGTGTTAGCATCAGACATACCTGAGCCAAGGTGAGAAAAAGGTTTCTGAAGGTATAGAGGATCTTCTTGACTAACATTGCTCTGAACTGCTGCAGGAGAAGGATACAGCCAGTGTTCCTCTGCAGGGGAACTCTGCTGGGTACTGATGGTTTTATGTGGTTTGATGCCACGTCCTTAGCTGTTGCATGTGGAGCACAGACATCAGTCAGTCAGAGAACATCTTTCTATTATTCCGTAATTCATCATTTAAATATAATTGAAATACTGCCTGATTAAATACTGAATATATTACTAATGGCAGTAAAATATCTGTCAACCACAAAGTTTGGGACTGAGGGGCTTTTGTAATACAGATTATTACTTAAAGTGGCTACCATCACGAACACGTGTCTAAGGAACCCGTATAATATATCACAGTACAGTACATGTGTAAATTTGGTTATATTATTAGTTTCTGCAAATACTTGTATCTACACATTACATTTCATCATTTTTCTCTAACATCACAATGATAATAAGTTTACAAAAAAGATTTTAATGTGTCATCATTCTCCTACAATCAACATATGACTTACTACTGTACTCAAAATCAGCTGGAGAACACACACACTCACACTTACTGAGTCTGTTGCCTCATGCTCCAATTTCTCATCATTAACTCTCATGTAAAATTAAATACTGTACTGTACATTAGGAGGAAATTATTCTATACAGTTGTACCCCGCTTAACGCGGTCAATTGAACCCACAGGGTACCGCGTTAAGTGAAAACCGCGTTAAGTGAACAACAGAACATATGGGATTAATTCCAATAGAGACTGGCCCGACCCCCAAACTCCACTTTTTGACGACACACAACTATGTTGTAGTGAAAATATTATCTTAACTTTATGATGGTATGCACACACAATTAATAATTAAGAAAAATATCAATAATATTAGGTTTTTTAACACTTACATTAGTAGAAAAGATGGCTGGGCACACGGGGATGGGGAGTTGGTTCCGAGGCAGAGGGCAGATTATTGGCCCTCACCTGTATCACTTGTATCAATTGTATCACTATCCACCACAGAGGCTTGCAGGGCCTCTTTGTCAAACCCCTCAAAGTCCATATAAGTCCATATCCTCAATATAATTATCACTATCACTGACTTGGGCCGGCTGTGGTGGGTGGCGGGTGAAGAACTCGGTAATGTTTTGATGACTGGGCGACCTTGTGCGCATCGTGCCCACGCCGCTTCCCGCGTATAAGAGTAGATGAACCGCATTAAGTGAAAGTTCAGTTCAGGTGAGGCACCGCGTTAAGTGAAACCGCGTTAAGCGGGGTACAACTGTACTGTATTTATAAATTTCATATTTAGATTGCTCCAATCTTTTGTAAGACAGATTATTTTCTAAAGTAGATTCTTGGTTGACAGATACTTTACTTTACTGTACTGTAGTAGATTAGTCTGTAAATCACTTCTGATGTGCAAAATCTTATTCAATTTTATTATTTAATTATCATCTTAACTACAATTCACTGGATAAAAAATAAAAAAATAAATAAAAAAATCTACATATAATGTACTCATTAGTGTCTGGCCAATATGTACAGTACATAATGCACGAGGTCTGATTAAAAAGTTCCAGGACTGAATTCATTAGGTTTAGTGTGATATGATTTTGTTCCTCAATTGCTGATGATCATTTGTACATTCAGAGATGTAAGAGATGCAGTCTAACAGCAACACACTAAAAAATGGATGATGGGTTTGTGGATGTTACCTCATGACAATGTGCTGTCTCACTCAACACTCACCATACCAGAATTCTTGGCCAAGCACAACATTGTACAGTTCTCCGAGTTAAAACCTCACTAAATGTGCTTCAACATACGAGAGGTTCAATCGCTGTGCATAATCACAGGAAAACTTTGATGGTGATATATTTGATTAAGTATTTGACCTTTAGTGTAGCATAAACTATGTGTCACAGAACTTTTTGATCAAATCTCATTATTATAAATAAATAAATAAATAAATAAATAAATAAATATATATATATATATATATATATATATATATATATATATATATATATATATATATATATATATATATATATATATATATATATATATATATATATATATATATATATATATATATATAAACACCACCGATTACCCGGCAACTGATGGTCCAGCACCTCCTTTAGTCCGGACAAAATTATGAGAGGGCACTTAACTTCCCTCCCTCCCTCCCTCCCAGCCAGGGTAAAGGTACTTTTAGACTTAAAGTTTTTATCTTATAAATTGTAGCTGACTAGATTTAGCAGAATATAAATTGAATTGCTGGAATCCTTGTAAGATAGTGATTAATTTGAGTATAAACATCACATAGTTTGCACAAGAGATAGAAATTTTAGTCTAGTGTAGTATATTTGTGTACAGTTTTTTTAACTCATATTTTGGGGAAGATATATGTAACTTTCTTCATTTATTTTTACTCATTTACTTGCACACACCATCCTAAATGTATATTGTGAAAAAAGTAAAAGAAATAATTGTCCTAAGGGTAAACCTGTAATGGGTTAATTCCTAAAAATTTTATGTCTAGTGCAAACTACGGGATGTTTATACTCAAATTAATCGCTTTCTTACAAGAATTACAACAATGCAAATTATATACTGCCAAGACAATTCAGTAACATTTTATAAGGGAAAACTAAAACTCCATCTGTTTTGATAACTACCCACTTTGTGATCTCCCCTCCCTGACAGCTGTCAACACATCATCCACCCCTCCCCCTTCCTCACAGCCAGGGCGAGTACAGTTTAGGCTTAAAGTTTTTATCTTATACAATGTCGCTGACTAGACTTAGCAGAATATAAATTACTTTGCTGGAATCCTTGAAATATTGTGATTAATTTGAGTATAAACATCACATAGTTTAATTTAAGTTTCTATCAGTTCATGGTGCTTTAGAGACACAGGAGGTGCATAATTAGTGGGTCAGAGGTGTATTGTTGAACTACAGTATTAATACCTGACCTCTTTTGGTCCGGCAAATTGGATAATCCGGCAAGGCTTTGGAACGAAGGGTGCCGGAAAATCAGTGGTGTGTGTATATATATATATATATATATATATATATATATATATATATATATATATATATATATATATATATATATATATATATATATATATATATATATATATATATATATATATATATATATTGTATTATGGTAACAAACTCATCTGCAAATAGGGAAAGAATCTAAAAAAGTGTATAATGTGAGAGGTCCCATCTTTCAAGGCACCCTCAAGTAGCAACAAATGAGTAAGAGTATAACTTACCACTAGTTAACAAATCATGCAGGTGTGTTGACATGCACACAAAGAAGCTTAGAAGCATCACTACACCTCTTTCAGGAAACTGTGTATGTTTAAACACAAGTATATCAGATGACTGCATTATAATATTAAGCCTACACCTTCACCCAAACGAAGGACCAGCTTTAAAATATTGTCATGCATGTTGAAGGTAATAGTGTTTGGCTAATATAGCTACAAGATTGTCAGTACAAGTTTAGTTATTCTATAATTTCCTTCAATTAAATTCTAAAATATTAAACACAATCATTTATTGAATATCTCCAATCTACTCACTAAATTAGCCAAACTAAGAGCATTCATTATAATATGCAAAGCAATTTGATTTTTTTGTAAAAGCATTAATTTTCAAAGCAATATTATTATAATGTAATGGAAAGTAAATTGTGGCACCATTACAGGGATTACCAGGAGAAGTTTAAATGTGAATACCGAAGGCTCGTCATACTTGAATATTTGGTGTCGGTAAAATTCCTGTCTAATACACTTAAAAATTCATAAATTGAAGGATTAACCTGAAATTAAAATTTTCTAATGGAACTCAAACCCAGAGGCTCTCATGAGACTGGTTAGTCTTTGTACCATGAGGCTGGTTCTGGTAAATCTATTATGCTATATTGGGTGTACCCATCACCATTCTCTTCCAACACACCAGATGGGTGAGATCAGGTGAGAGTTGCCCTCATGTAACAGGAGGTGTTACAGTGCCAAAACTGTTTATTTAGCATACTTGGTGCCAGGCTTCTGTCTACCATCTTCCATTTTAAAGTCAATACACAATTTTGAAATTCAGTTCTAGTCAACTACAGGTGCTCCTCTACTTACGAACGAGTTACGTTCCTGAGGCTTGTTTGTAAGTCCAATTGTTTGTAAGTCCAATTGTTTGTAAGTCCAACTTTAC